TATTCTTAGAGAAGTTGGTAAACTCACAGGAAGAATCAAAATAAGTGTAACCCAGTTCGCTGTTCTTCAATTGATCAGAATCAAATCTCTCATCGGTGAAACACTGCATGCGCCAGAGATGTCCACCAACGGCGTCAAGGAGGTGCTCGGAGTAAGAGCGCTTCTTGAACAATTGACGGCCGCAGAGAAATTCAAATGCCTGTTTAAAAGTAAATTAAACCTGGGGTAATTATATGAAAATGCGTGGGGAAATACACATACCAAACAACCAAAAGTCCAGATGTCAACTTTCTCGTCCCATGGGCCTCGTAGCAACGTTTCCGGTGCTCGAAGAGCCTCGGCCGTGATTTCGTCAAACGTGGGTTTGCCGACGAACTGGGCTACAATGGTGATCAATCAGTGGCAGCACTTCGTGATGAGATTAATAGCCTAATGAATAACAGAACTTGCGTTAAACATAGAAACTTACCATTGCCAAAGTCTGCAATCACAAAGGTTCGGTCTAGAGCCTCATTGATAGAGGGAACGGGAAGAGGATCTGCAGAACCAAGATCTGCGTTGCCCCCGTCGAACAGAATATTGTCGTGCTTGAGATCAGTGTGAACGATTCCTTGCTGGTGCATTGTCTCGAGTCCCTTCAACGTATGGAGTAGTATACGTTTGGCGAGACTGAGAGGGAAACCGTTACGGGCGTAGATGCGTTTGAGATGCTCTACATCACCGCCAAACACATCTGTAACGAGGCATAGATGAGGACCTGTGTCGGTTCGGCCGGGATGAATAAAATTGTCATGGAGAGAGAGGCAGTGGCCTTCCTTGGGCTCTGCTCCATGTGGACTTGAAGAAAGTTTGCGAAGGACATCAAGCTCAGGGGTAAGTCCTTCTTGAGCGAGTCGACTTGCAAAACCTGTGAGAACCTTGACAGCTACATGCTTCTCATCCCTGCAGCGAGATAAGATATCGCTCTTAATCAAGGAATAATTTTTGAACACATACTGATGGTCTTTTGCCAACCAAGTACTTGAGTACATTCCCCATCCCAGTCGACGAATGACAGAGAACCTGTCGTGTTGACCGAGAATATCACCTGCGTTGATCCGAGCAAAGCCGTAGCCGTCGTCAACGCTGAGGTGCAAGGGCTCATCAAGGGGTTTGAAGCCGTTGACGAGCGCTGCGAGAGACCGGCTCGGAGTCCTGGTAAACGAACGTCTAGAAAGAGCGGACGCGCCTGAGAAGGCGCCTGTAGATGAACAACGATTCATAAACATTGTTGAGTAGTGTAGTGAGGAGGGGGGAATGCCTGGAAAAATAATAGCCTAAACTTGGCTGCGTTATAAGCAATTGGGAGTGGGAACAGGCGATTTCCGAGTAATCGCTATAGGAAAGTCATGTGAGAACTCCAAAAGCTGGGACGTAATGAAACTTGAAATTTTGCGCTTCGCTTGAAATTTTACGAGTTCTTTCTTGCTGGTACTTTTTTGTTCAGAGATAACGAGGAATCATGGCTGCAAGTAAAATGACAAGAAGCAACAAAAGGAACAATTCGAAGCTGTCTCGGGCCGGCTGTCCCGGAGCGACCTAAGCCCCGAAATTCCTGTATTGTATACACTACTCCTATCCATTCTACTACTCCTATCCATTCTACAAGAATTTGGCTTCGGCCCTCTTGCCAAAGGTTTTTGTCTCCATACTACGTTCAGGCCAATATGAAGCTCGGGATGGGCCTGCTCATTCAGCTAATTGTACCGCCTTTACTCACCAACAATGATTAATAGTCTTCGATTTTATCCAACGACGTTGAACTCGCACTTGACGATGAAAGACCCTTGCTCACAACAAAATCTGTCTAAGCATGGAATATCATACCATATCACGACGGACAAGTTCGTACGTTTCCACGTCGTCCCAGCCACAGTTCAATTCAACTCAACGCCCCATCTTGATGCTGCTGATTACGGTGATATACCATGCTGCTCAAACCCTCTTCCGCCTCTCTATCCAGGAACCGGGGCGTAATAGAGCGTAACTACCTCAAAAAACCGCTCTATTTTGAGCCGTCAACTTGATGTGTATCTTTTACACATAGCATATACAGCTCGTATCTCGTTAAGGTGAGATTAAACTGCTTTTGAACAGCCAAATGAGACTCGTTGACACATTTCATTTGCGCAGAACAACATATAAATCATGATACAACTCGTTCGCGACTGGATCTTTGATTTTCCCTACCTCCAATACTTCTTCCACCGCGGTACTCCCGACTCCAGGGAACTCAGCACGGCACAGGCCTGATAGTATAAATCCCGCTGCTTCACGACGTGCCACGTCGGACGGCCGGCCTTTCCTATCCCTTCCTGTCGTTTCATCCAGCCTGTCTTTTTTACATGTTGCTCTTTTGTTGCTGTGTACTCTTTTACTCAAATTCTCGAACTTGACTTGATCATAGTCATACGCTTTACTATCGGAATGACCGCTGTTAATTTCGATATCAACACTCTTTTCTTCGGACTTTCTCTCTCCGCATTCGTTATAGTATTCATCCCTTTTTATTGGCATTTGAAAGGTGAGCGTTTCTTTGGCAGGTTTGTTGGTGCGGCGAAGATGGATTTCTGGGTACGACATTCTTGACAGAGATAGATACTTGGATTGAACGAACAGATGCGTTCAATCCCCCTAAATCCTTCACCGACTCCATTTTTCTGCTCTGTTCCTGCTTAGGCTTACAGACCTCTTCTATCTTTCTCCAATTTTTAGCGAGGAACACGGGGACTTGCCTCTTTATGGCTTGGATAGGTCTCGCATCCCTCGTTCTTTCTATGGATTCGTTCTTCTGGAAGAGAAATACTTCCAACTTTGCACCAATTTGGTGCGATATCTGTGAGTAGCAATACTTATCTCCTACCAGCCGACAATCTCAAGTTTTCATTTCAGCTTCAAAATTCTTGATTGGAGCAAACGCCGCTATCTCATCTGTATCGTTATGCATTAATCTCCGGCTTTGGCTCGTTGCCTCGGATCGAGTGAGAACTCTGGAGGTACACGGCTTTCGCTCAAAAGTTTTTCCCAAAATGCTGAGTTCTTGTAGAAAAGGAGTGTGTTCGTGATCGAGTTGCTACTGGGATTGGGCTTTCCGGTGCTGGAGATGACGTTCCGTAAGTTCCTCCTCTGCTTCTAACAGGGATTGTGAAGCTGACCAATTCTCCTGTACGATTTCAGAATATTTTGTTCAAGGTGAGTTTACGACGTCATGCAGACAGACGTAGTAACTGATTGATTCTATCTAGATCGACGTTTTGACATATACGAGGGCGTTGGCTGTCGTGCAGCGTCTGATAATGTACTTTTGATGTACCTTCTACTCCTGGCGCCTCAATTTCTCCTTGGCATCGCATCTACGACTTTTTTCAGTGCGCACTTTCTCGTCTTTCAACCCCGACCTACCATTCTAACTTGAATTTAGTTTTGGCTTTCATCAACTATCACCGTGTATACAAGTACATGTTGGAAACGCAATATTCACCCACGTTTCACCATCGAACGACACTTTCTGCATCGTTCCCTTGTTTTATTACCCTTGGAGGCATTTCTATCTTATGCAGCATCGCTTACGCCGCCTTCGTTGTATACTTCAACGCAACCGCCAGTGACACTCTGGGATCCTTCACACTCTGGGAATCCTGGACTTCGACTCACCTCAATATCAAAAAGGTGAATGTATATAACGAGAAAGAGTGGCGTGGAGATATGATGACGGTGCTTCTACTGGAGGCTAATCGTTGGATCTTTGTCGGGCTGGCGTTTTTGTTTTTCGTGTTCTTTGGGCTTGCACGTGAGGCCAGGAGGAGATATAGGAGACTATTTGGATGTGGTGGAAGGAGGAATTATTGGTTCCAAGCTGACAGGACGACGGTGGGAGCAGGTGATAGAGGGATCGTGCATTATGCCGATGGAGATACTGAAAGTGCGGAAGGGTACGTTATGATTCGGTTTGGGCCGAATTCCTACTTAGTTCCATCAGGTCTAGCAACAGGTCTGAAAGTACCTTCGATACAACAACCAATTTCAACGCTTCTATCAGCAAACCTCAACTTGTTAACGAGTCTGTTGTCAATGTTCTCCCTCAAGACCCGTTCACGCTTGATAATCCCTATCCTAAACACATTCACGACAAAAAGTCCGAAAGTCAGTCAGGCGAGAGGGATCCGACGTTCCTAACAATTGCTGACTTTCGGGCAGAAGATGACAGTGTCATTGCCGTTTCAAAATCTGAAGAATCCACTTCATTACTTCCCACTGATCCTTTCGCTGCTGCCCCACCGTCTTCTCTTCTCACTGCTCCTATTCCATCAACAGCTCTTCTTCAAACCCACCAAGAATCGACAAACTCTCTCTCACCATCAATCCGAACTCCACCATCTGCTTATGTCCCGGATCGAGAGCCCCCTGCTCGTGGTCAAGTTCACTTTGTATTCGCGGATGAGATGCGACAGACCTCCTTACCTCCCTCCTTCCCGGCCGCTTCGACAACAACACGGGGAAGAAGTAACAGTTTGGGATCGCGTAGCGCTCACACGAGAAGACCTACTTCTCGCAGGCGCTCCCTATCGCGAGGCTTGTCGGCTACGGCAACGTCTCCTCCTCCTACCCGTCCACTTCCTGATATTCCTTCAGACATCCCTCTTACACCTAATACCGGTAGGAATTTTCAGTCGTACCATACGGACTATATGAGTCAAAGGAGCGGCTCGTTCATTCCTTCTCTTATCTCCAGTCCTGCTGCTACGTTAGCGGCAGCTCCCAGTGACGTTCTAACCTACCATCTCAGCAGGCGGCGAACAGAAGGTGCCCGTTTGTTAGTAGAAGGAAGAGCATTTTAAAAAAGGGTTTCGTTCTAGGAAATAATAAAATACAAAGGATAAAGAAGGATTTTTTGATGTCGGAATTCAGAAAACTGTTAATGCCAATCGTTTGTCAATAATACAAAAAGACGATAAAAAAGATGATTCGACCCAGGCTCGAACTGGGGACCTTCTGTGGTTGAAGATGTTAGACAGATGCGATAACCAACTACGCCACCGAACCACGAGGTAATAGAAAGGTATTGCACATACAGAAGGGGTTGCTGTTCGTATATGAGCTACAAGCTAAGTTGGCACAGGCCTCGTCCCGCTCCCGCTCGGTGTTTCACCTCAGACATTCCCGCCTTTCAATTGTGTAGATGTACTCTTCCTGTAAGTACTTTTTTTGAGAGTCTTGTAAAACTAGCGTAAGCGTACTCTATAATCCTCAGAAAGCACACGAAAATATGTGAGCGACTGAGGGGGCGATCCAATATACTCAAAGAATAATTACAGTCCGGTAGGTAGTCCGAAACGGGTCTGGGGAGTCTACCATCGGTGAGCATAAATATCAAATATGGATTGAAACAAATGAAAAATCGAAAATAAAATTTCACAAACGCGAGGGAAAGGGAAGTGCATGGCCTTAGAGTCCGATCGGGACTCCTTCCCTCGATCCAGCTATTCTCGACAAGTCTATCTTCATTACACTTCTTCTGGTAGCCCTTAGTGACCTTGTCAATGGCATCTGCCTGTTTATTCCCTTCCTAAACCCTTTTCACTGAGGACGTATTGATTTCGTATTTGTTAGCCTGAGAATCGAGATACAGACAACCATACAGTGTTGGAATTGAGCTTATATGATCTACTCGGAAAGTTGAATTCCCTTGAATATCTTTGTACACCACTTACCGCAGAGTCCCGACCTGTGGAGAATGAACTGAAATCGGAGGCCGCGTTCCATTGAAGGGGCCCAAGGGAAAATCAAAATCGAAAACTCCAGTTAGGATATTCAAATAGAGTAAAACTGCTGGCTCGGTTAAGGGACCGTCATGAAGTACAGGACACGCACACGCGTGAACGATTCGTATTAAAGTCACCTGTAAGACTATCGTAAGTAATCAATCTGAAGTACATAGTGAGCAATGATAATATACAGGTGAGGAAAAGACGATACCCACCCTCTAGAACACACACACGTGTGAACGACTGAGGGGGGGTGGTCCGTATGTAGAGTGAATATATAGAAAATGGACAAGATAGCCCGAAACTCGTCTGAGAGGACCTATCGACGGGCGGAACAATTATCAGGCAGAATTTGAAATGATCAGGACTGTAAGTAACTTTTCTAAAACATGTTCGAAGGGGAGTACATTGCTTCAACGTCCGATCGGGACTTCCCCCCTCAACCCGGTTATCCTCGACATACCTATTCCAAGTACTCGGGAGTATGAGAAAGTGAACGAGCTGTAAAGGTTTATCTCACCTTACTCGTAGCCTGATACCTAACGCGAACAGGTTTTATAGATGTCCGTACGTACGACAGGCAGAAGTAGGTAGTGGTAAGAAGTTAAAAGAGCAGTATTACGGGGCGGAGGCTGTGAATAATGATGACAGCCGAGAGTGATTTACGGAAGAGTGCAGTATAAAAGGGTGTTCCTCAGGTTGAACTACTCTCGAGTAACGCTGGTTCGGTATGTGTCTCTATCTTCAAATCTCTTATTCGACTCCATGTCTAACACTTCTGTCTTGGCACAGTTACTCAACAGAAAGCCCTAGTGCCCAAGCCGTAGTATACATTGCATTGATCTGCAGTTTAGACCTCATACGTTTAGTGGTACGAATATCAGCTTGAACGTCAATGAACACTATCAGTTGACGATGCTTTCTCCAATACAGATCTTACCTTGCTCTCACTTAGCTCGCCCCCTATCCTTCTCCCTGCTGTGATGTTACACCTCCCCTCACGCTTATTCGCTGTATTCGTCGTCTTCACAGCTTTTCTTGGAGTAATCTCCTCTCCGTTGACTATAACCCCTGAAGATTCCAATTCCTCGTATGAACAATTAGAGCAACGAGGCGGCGGCCGTGAGTCCTTTGATTTTCCACATATTGACCTATCTTAACTTCTCGTCTAGCCCGTTACAGTAATGTCCCAATCACACTCATGCGAAAGAGTAAAACAGGATCAATAATCCGACCAGATGCTGCGGTCACTGCGGATGAAGACTGGGCCTTATTTATTGGCATACACGGATTCCAAGCTCACTTAGGGCCCTCTGGTACTCTAACGGCTTCCCAAGTAGAGGCGCCGAGGACATCAGGAGGAACATTGGTCAGGCTCCAATCCCTTGGCCAGAAAGCCTCATTCAATTCCGCAGAGGAGATGGACAAGGTTTTCCAAGGTCTGCTCACTGAAGTTCCGGCGTTGCACAAGGGAGTCGGAGTCCCACAAACAAATTTGGCCTATTTGAATGGTATATTTGCGTACCTAGCAACTGTTAAGGCGGTTGCGACTACAGATCCACCTCAGGCATGGGTATACTTGTATAACGAGATGCATATTGAGCAGGGTGATGCCTCATAATGGGCCAGCTGGTTGTAGACTTAGGATACTCAGCTATCTTTTCAAGCAGCTCATACAGCCATTCTATGTAATCAGTCCAACAGCTACTTGAGGCCGAGTAAGATTATCGCCAAAAAAACAAAACCCGTATACGGAAAATAGACGCTCCACTCCTGCCTATGTATCACCTTTAAGTCGCTCATGCGTCAGATTCACGCTCATGGTTAGAGAGTGACTGGGTGGCGTATTTTCTAAGGCTGTCATGGTGACTCTGTCAAGTAATTGTATGGCCTTTTCCTATTTATCTGAACGCAACATGAGCGTTACGGTGCCAGTCTTGCTCGTTAGATTTTCCGAATACATATCAATCCATGACATATCCTCATAAGAGTCTGAAGGGCTGAGTTCGGAGGTTTGAGACTGTGGGAGAGTATAGTGAGTGATGTAATCAGCACCTTACAGTAACCCCCATTGTGCCTTGAATGCCAAAGGTGATACGGCCGACAACGCATTTGAAACGATACCTCTCCATTCCAGCCTATCCTTCTCATATATTTCGGCTGAGCATAGAATTCTTAGATGGCGCAAGAGCTTGCAAAATCATTCCTGGCTCGCCCTCAAGAATTGTGCTTTCTCGGATCTGAATACACGGGCCACGCCGGCTTTTTGCTAAACATAGGAACGGAAGCAGAAAGGCATTTAAATGCACAGATTTAGAATGCTTGTGGTCCTCAGTTGCTCGGACTCCCGAACTTGGAGGATCTTCTGTAAAATTTGACATCGTGCCTCGCATCGCCTACAAACCACAGGCAACATCAATAAGGATGTCAGAATCGTCAAAATATGCACTGTCACTAAAACATGCTGCTACCGATTGGTCCTGCATTCAATGAATCCAGCCGCCGCGGCCTATATTCCAGCCAAAACATCAACACTAGCCTTCAATGGCTGCTCATTTGATGCATTAATGGTTGCTCCGAGTTAAGGGGTAAAGCCTCAAATATATAAAGCAGACGATGTGTAACACTGAAATCGTCTCCTCTCTCCACCCCAACCGAATATAGAGATGCTTACCGGTCAGGTTGGACTCGCCGAATGGCTCACTCTCTTCCTCGGCGCTTCTATCTTTTGGTCTGTTATGCAGACCGCTACTGCTGCTAACACGGTATTATCTCGAGAAACTGCACCCCATGGAGGTATTGCGACCGAAGCTGGTGTGTATGGGGCTGGAGCTGATCACTAAAAATATCTCGCGGCTAATATCAAGCTAACTCAATGACTTGATAGCGCCATGCACGGATATTGGAATTAACATTCTTCAGCAAGGGGGGAATGCAGCTGACGCAGTTTGTCGCCGGGAATGCTCTTACCCACCTTCGCATCGCTGACAATCCGTGTTTAATACGTAGATCATCGCGTCAGGTCTTTGTGTTGGAGTGATATCTGCTTACCATTCGGTAACGTTCTGAGCGCGTCAATGTTAGCCGGTTTCTCCATTAATCCTGCTTTGTCTGTATTCTTACAGGGTGTCGGCGGAGGCGGATTCATGCTCGTCCGTTTTAACAAGGACGATGGCAACCACGACTACGAAATGATCGACTTTAGAGAAACTATGCCTGCTGCTGGTACTGAATACATGTATGTCAACAACTCCAATCCAGACGCTTCTTTCTTGGGTGGTCTTTCTGTCGGTGTTCCGGGGGATTTACGTGGGTGGGAGATGCTTCATCAGCGGTCAGTAACATTGAAGCCGGTAACAGGTACAAATTAATAATGTATCCTTGTTGACTAGGCACGGATCCCAGCCTTGGGAAGATCTTGTCTTACCAGCTATTGACCTTGCGCGAAACGGCTTTGAGGTCAACGTGGACCTTGCGGCTGCCCTGCAAGGAGTGGATTTTATTACGCAGGATGCTATTTGGGCTGAATCTTACGCTCCAAATGGTACCGTTCTTGTAGAAGGCGATATTTGCTATCGCAAGGTGACATCGTTGTCCTAAGTTGTGTTTCCATCATCTGATTGCGTGCGAACACCAGAGGTACGCCAATACCTTGGAGAAGATCGCGAAATACGGCGTCGACGCGTTTTATACGGGTGAAATTGCCATTAACACCGCTTCGACCGTGTATCAAAGTAATGGGATCATGACCACTGACGATCTGGCTGGGTACAGAGCAATTGTCCGACAGCCTAGAAATATCACATATCGTAACACGAGGATTTTCTCTACTGTGGCTCCGTCTAGTGGCACCGTGGTGCTTAGCGCACTCAAAATATTTGAGGGCTTTAACGGGAACGCCTCAGACAGGTGGGCGTTTCATTGAAACGCTTTTTTGATTTGTCCTATCGCAGCCTAACACTGTCATTCATAGCGATCCCGCCATCAATCTAACCACTCATCGACTAGTTGAAGCCACTCGCTTTGCATATGGACAGAGAACTGAATACGGTGATCCCGCTTTTACCCCGAATGTCACTGAGCTCGAAGCGTATTTCCTTACTGAAGCTGTCGTGAATGAAACGCGGAGCAAGATTGCGGATAATCAGACGTTTCCGGTGCCTTACTATAACCCAGAGAACTATCAGGTTCTAATCGACAATGGCACTTCGCATATGGCGGTGATTGACAAGGATGGGATGGCGATTTCGTTGACGACGACTGTGTAAGTTTCTTTAG